TATTACCATTCTAGATATAGGAACATTCTTCATAGTACTTTATATCGGTGTCTTACTATTACCATTCTAGATATAGGAACATTCTTCATAGTACTTTATATCAGTGTCTTACTATTACCATTCTTGATATAGGAACATTCTTCAGTTTATACATCTCCCTTATTCCTAGAATTATAATTTCATAGACTTGTCCTACTAATGCCACTTTAATATGGGAGTGTTCAAAGGACTTAGACTTGTTGAAGATTAGCTTGATGTACTTATGAGCAGATAGAGGACTGATAGGAGCAACCTGTGCATCCAAACACTGTCCATATCAACAAGCCCTAATATCAGTTCTGTAACTTACATACACACTATACTCCAGTGATATTAATACATTTACTTATATTACAAAGAACATCTTAATACCTCATTGGTAGTTCTCTTAATGCTGAAAGGAAAGTGTTTATTCCATTTTACAGAAGGAAATTTGTGTCGTCTCACTGAGAGAAGCGCCAACTATAAACATTTTCAGAGTATTTTAGGTTTAACAACATGAATAAAAGCACTTGGTGTTGTCATATAACAAACACTGGAGATAGGAATCTGAAACAGATCAACTTCTTGTCATTACCTAATCATCACAACTTTCCATAAAAAACAAATTTTTATCAAATAACAAGAAGCAGACATTTTAGTGGTTTTTTCAGTTTCAAGACTGTTAATTGTTTTGTATTCTTATTTTATGGTTCAGACAAATTAATTTTTAATATTTTGTTAGAAAGAAATGACATTGCATGATAATTTTTTGTTTTTTCAGATTTATCGATTTTATCAAGAATTACAGTAGACCAAATTTGACTGTTTCATTTAAGGCTGAGGTTAGTTAATGCACATTTCATGTTTATTTATATCTCTTGAAAACTATATGGTAATTAGGTTAAATTAAAGTATAGGATTAGTTTTTATCTATTGCATTTACAGAAGTAAGATTTGAAAAAACTAAGTAATACACAGTAAATTTTACTTTTTGCCTACATGAAATTTTTCTAAGTTCATCTAAAAATCAGTTTCCTTAAAATTGCAACCAGTAGTTAGAGATATAGTGTAAAATTTATTGTATTTTTTAAGTGAAAATTGTAGTTTCTCTG